TAAGCCATCTGGTTGGTTGGGTCCACTATTTGGGAAGCCTGAGGGGAAGAGACCGCTGGGGAGACCTAGACGTAGATGGGAGGATAATCTCAGGCGGGATCTATGGGAGATAGGAGTTGAAGGAGACTGGATTTTGTTGGCCCAGGACAGGGTCCAGTGGAGGGCTTTGGTTAATTCGGTGATGAACCTTCGGGTTCGGTAAGCCATCTAGTTAGTTAGTTAATTTATCAATATTGTAAGTAAGTGTTGGTAGCTTGGTTGGTGATTAGTCGCTGTTTAGGGAGTTTGGGCTTTATGCAATAATGACTATGTATGCTTAATATTCTAAGTTCATGTTATATAAGCACTCAGTGTATTTAAGAATACTGTCTTTGTGTATAAGATATGTTTTAATTGTGGCACAGACGAAGGTATTAATAAGACTTCTGAATTTTATAGGTTTATTCTTACTGTTGTTTATGTTATTGGATTTTCATATTAAGGGGAAGATATGTTGAGAAATTATCTTATAACAATGTTCTGAGGAGAATATATGGACCAAAAGTGGTGGAAATAACTGGATGTTTAGAAAATTTCGTAATGAGAAGATTCATAACTTTCTATTTCAAATTTAATTAAATTAATCAGGTCTGGTAGGCGAGCACGTACAATGCTCGGTCCTTTCGCGAAATTAATTTTTAATTATATTTAAAAGAATGCTAATTAATTGGTTATTTGTGGATCGCACGCGATATCCAGGTTTGCAGATTTTTGTTTTGTTTGTTTGCGAATCGCGTAAATTTTACTTCGAATCGAACGATAATTAAACTGCAGCGTTATAAACACGCTGACTAAAAATTTCGAAGCTATACTAGGGGTATTACGCAGATGACCTTTTACTGTTAACAGAAATATCTCGTGCAGAAATCTGTTGTAGAGTCTGGTCATTATCATTTCCCGCAGTTCTGTACGCCTGACACGAGGCTACTGCGCTCATCAAGTTCCTAATTATTTAACTCGTACACTACAGTCCGTTTTGAGCACAACAAATCAATATTGATCTAAAAGTATGTAGAGAAACTTTTGCGATATAATTGAATTTACTCTGTGTCGTCGTTAAAATTATTTATTTTTAAGGAGATTCGTTCAAAGTAACTTTCATGTTTTAAGGAGCGCGTGTATAAAATTGTTATGAAATGAGCTTAAAAGATAAGAAGTGATAAAACTACATAATGAAGAACTCGTTATTAAGTAAGGAAGTCGCGTATGAGCGAGACCTGAAGGAAACATTGGAGGACTAAAAGTGCATACAGAGTGTTACCCGTAAAACCTCAAGCTAAGCCTCTTGTAATAAATACTTTAACAAAAGCTAGTCTAACAAGGCAGACTACCTTATTGCGCAGTCTAAATTTTCCCGTGATTTCGTCCTTCCTATCACAGCTTCCATTTTAGTCAAATTCTGTTTACATTTCTAGGTTATTTTGTGTAACAGAAACTTGACTTATTTGAGGAAAAGAATGTTAATATCTCTGTAATATGTGTGTGTATATTTATAAAGTTAAACCTCTCCAAACACCTGTCTCTTCTGAAGACAGTTCTAAGAATTGTGGGAGAAATTCATAAATTTTGAGAAAGTCTTCCGACGTTTCTTCTAAACCTACATATATTAGGTTAACAGTTGAATGTGAAATTACATTTCACCACATCAGAAAATAAATGGCACGTAAATTTTATATTTTGGTAACTTGGGATATGTCGTATTTACTTGTGATGCAAATAATAAAATACGTGGTTATAAATGAATATGCGAGACACGGTTAATATTAAAACAAGTAAGTAAAGAAAGAAAATGTTTTAATGTCATAAACTGATGGTAATTCCCAGGATTCTGTATTACAGTGAGATATATTGATCTTATATACGTAGATACTAAAATATATTTGTCGAGATACGTATCCTCGCAAGCTCCTCGTATAATGGAAGAAATCAAACACGTATATCAAGTAGATACATCCCTTTGTCTGATGGTGGATTTAGAATTAAAAAATCAACAAGAATTAGCATCAGTGAACAAATACACAGTCCACCAGAATTGTGTCTTGTTTTCCTCTGTATTGTAGCAGTTCATAAATGAAAACCCTAAACAAAATGCTGGGCACTAGTTATATTTCCATGGGTTTTATTTTCCATGGTCCTGGCGAGCTATTGGCTTCGTTCTGGAGGGTGAACAGATTGAAAATTATGTGCTCGCTCATAGAATGACGTATATTGAAAAGGCAGTAGAATTATTAATCTAGATGCCCTCGCAAAGAGCACTGTGTTTGAAAACGGTTGGATTTTAAAATATTTGTGTTATTACTTTCTTATATTTTGCTGAGTAGGATATTTTGAATGCTTGAAACGTTTTTCAATTTTGTCATTGTCGTTTATATCCCTTCATGGAAGTGACAGGCAATAGAACATAAATGTTCAAAATCTCTTAATTCTTAAGTCTCGTGTTACACATAGTTTGAAGCCAGTTCTTAGAATCGCAGTATTGTCATTCTGATTCCAAGACCAGATTATTGTCCAGAGGTTGAACTCTTGAGTAACCATGTTCGCCCACTCTCGGCCCCTGACAACGCCAAGACGTGTGGGCTGTGAATTCCACCTCTGTAGGCTGGATTATCATCTCTTGAGCAAACACGAAATTCACAGAAATTGTTACATCCACTATCGCTTACATGCGCCCGTTTATATTAATAGACCAGCGAATATTTTCAGAATGTTTGTTAATGTTCAAATTTATACACAATTCCTTGGAAAGATACCAATTATATTTACGTTTCGCGTCTTCTCCATGTTTGTGATATTTATCTTGTCAAGAAACTAAGAGGTCGTATAGAAGAGACCTTGGAATCGAATTGATGGGAGGATAATATTAAAGTGGATCTTACATAAATCGTGAGTGTGTGATTCTGGGTGGGGACACTGAAACTTGGTCTTCCTTGAACTGGGGAGGGGGGATTAGTAAACAGTTTAACGATTGTTAGCTTTTCAGTATTGACTCAACTGCGTGTTGTTAGTTTAGATGTGTTTGCGAGCTTTCTTCAAACTTCACACTTGTAGACTCTATATCAGTTACAGACATAATAAAAAATAATGTAAATTCATGTACAAATTTCACGCGCCGGGTATGGAAGATGGCGTTAATGTCTATATTTGTGTTTGGGAGGGGGGTATTTGGTTCGATTATCGTCAGTTAGCGGTAGCTTCATCCTCAATGCCATTGTGCATGGTTTTTATATCTCTTCCGTCTGATGTTGTGACTTAATATCGACACAAAATTCATACATGATCATCCAATCTGTTCAGATGGTATTAAGTCAGGTTAGGTTAGGTTCAGTTTGGTTAGGTTAACTTAGTGTAGTTAAGATTATATCACGTCTCGCTACGTGAAGTCTTGGTCGCGTGTACGTGCCTTCTACGTCACGCTACGTAACCCCTATTACACGTTAAGTCACGTCTACGACATGACAGAAACGGTAGATACCACGTGTAAAATAATTAAATGAATGTTATCAGCCTTCAAAGTTATAGTTCTGTCAAATCATGGCGTTACTAATTCGATTGTCTGGTTAACATTCGTGGAGCTGTGAACAGAACAGGTGTGAAGCTGTCAATAATAATTTGCGATTATTAGTAGCATGTTACCTGCTTACGTCACTAAGCTACAAGTGTTAATTATATATCATCAAAGTCAGTGCGGAAATGTCTTTAGCTTTAGCTCCAGAAAGTGATCAAGATATTTTCTGTCGCCATAAATGATCAAACTGTCACTGGTCTGGGAGCAGAGAAACCTATCTCAGATTTCTCATTATCCATGAGCACATGCGCAGAAATAGGTTATGTGCGGTACGCTACATTTTTATTATCCATGTCGAAGAGTCGGTGATTGCTTTAAATTTATGTGTCCTATGAACTTTCTCTCTGACTGCCCAACGTTCGGAATTAATACGTTCTTGGGAGACATCACTTTGCATGAAAGATTAAACTCTGTTGGTCTGTAGACCCCTAGAGGTACGATCTGCTTTCTTGTGAAAACATTATTTGTGATTAATTCTGAACTAAAGATGTTTTCATTGAGACATTCAATTTTTTCTTATTCACAGCATCTCTGGTTTCCTATTTCTCCCCAGATAAGTGTGGTATCAAGTCTGATGTTCACTTGATATTCTCAGAAACGTAGTCACTGACCTGAGGACGGAGGTCTAGACACTTTACTCAGGCATTTTACTTCTGTACTGTCAAATATAATACGTAAAAGTCTCATGTTTATCCAGTAAGATTTTGTGTGAAATTGCTCATTCAAATTTCGTTCATTTTCGGGACATCGGAAATATAAAATCTGGATAGTACTCCAATTAGGACAGGACTGTTTACACATGACCTCCCTACCTTTACAGTTTTTAATTTCTGTATCTTCAGTAATATAAATATGATTCTCGCTCAAATTTCTGAGACGTCATTACAGTGTCGCTACTTAATGTAAAGCGCACAGGCTTATGCCTTATATTTCGTTAAATGTACAATATATTTTGATGAAGCTTCCAATTTAGAATTATACGATG